GAATCGCTTCTTAAACGAATTTTAACTACTTCTCTGTGTTTAAGAATAATATTAGCATCAAGGTTGCTATTTTGTGTATAACTACATATTGTAATAATCATCTTTTTTACTATAGCCACTTATGCTTTCTTATTTCCTATTTCAGCTTGTATACGAAGTCCTTCTGAGAGCAGTTGAATCGTCTGACTTCCAACCGAATATTGCTAAGAGATATATTGATCAAAAGTTCATTCTTCAGGTGCTAAGTCATTTTATTGTCATCTTAAATGATTCAGATTGTGATTTTCAATAAGATTGCCCACTATTTTTTGCCCATTTCGAGCATATTAAACTAACTAGTCGGATAAGTCATGTTATCCTTCCATCTTATCACAGAATTGTTTTTATGTTTTGTCATATGCTAATGCTCAGATATAGACGTAAATTTATTGGGTCAGCTATTCATAAACAGGTATTAAACATGGTATTTTACCATGTGCTATGTTTTCAATGTTTAGTTGATTCTTTGGCTAGACAGTCAATATGTTGAGTCCTTCATCGTATATCGACAAACTTGCTCGCCCAGTAAACATATATATATAACTAGTTGTTAATTGAGCTACAACATGTCTATGATATTTTCTGGACCAACTCTAACATGTAATTTATATTTACGACCACTATTTATGCGACTAAGCTATTTGTAGCTTTGAGTAAATGCGTAGAAGTCGTGGCTAACTAATACATGGTACAGATAGGGTCCATAGTTTTCAGAGCTACATTAATATCAAGTATCTATAGTCCTATTTTTTCTTATTCCTTACTCTCTCTGAGCCATTGCAAGACTTGATGTCTTGACTAAAGCACTAAAATTCCAATCGGCAAACGGCAAATCTTCACTCTTAATTTAGATTCGTCTATTTCGATATCCATATTACAACTAAATAACAAAATAAGGTTCAGCAGCAAGCATTTTTTCTTCTTGATCATATTTAGGTCAAATGTAGTCCAGCTTTAACGTTTTTGTTCTGAACACCCAAGTTTGGTTCGAAATCTTATGGATGAGGATGGTTCCTTGGCGAAACTTCAGTCAATCCTTGATGAGAGCATTCTTTTGCTAAAATATTCTGGTGGAAATCCTGAGAAACCAGGCTGCCTTTGTCTTCCGATAGTAAAGCATCAAAACATTTGTTCTTGTTAAATTTGCTAGGAACTTAAAATTAATCTATGAGACGTCTTGAAGCCCTACTTGCAGACGAAAAATTGAAATTATTTTGCCTGATATTTTCTTTGGCCTTTGCATTCAATTATCAATGTTTCACTAAGAGTTATAATGTTTCACAGTTAATGCTAATCTTTCGCTTTTCCAATTCTTGCCTTGACTGTAATACTGCCTTACCACATCCTAGCTTCTTGAACTCTTTGACAGTGAGGATCCTCGTGAACGAGACTTGGTCAAAACAGTTTTACACAGAATCTACGGGAAAGTGTTGTCCCTAAGAGCTTATATTAGAAAGCAGTTTAACAACATATTCTATAAGTGAGTCTTATCTTGCTCTACTCTTAATGTTTATAATCTTATCTTATTACCTATGCCTTCTTGTCGCTTCTTGGACTTTAAATTCCAGCACTGGCATATTTATTTATTGTGTGATGCAATACATTTGTCTAATATACGTCAGCTTCCCCAGTTAAAATTATTTTACACCACTTCCTTCAAAGCATCATCCTCTTCCATTCATCAAGCCCTCTATTGTTAAATAGGTCTGTATTCACCCTATCGTTTAAGACAAATGGCATTGAATCTTTTAGTCTCATATTTCATCCGCAAGCCTTGGTGTTAACGGTAATATGGGAATTAGTGTACTCCGGTTCCGAGGCAATAGCCAAACGCCGGAATAAATGTATTTACAGTTCCTTTTGTCAGCCTTACGTTGAGTGGGCTTCAGCAATACTGACCTATCTTTGGGTTTATTATCGCTCAATAAACGACTTAATGGTGTTTAAGTTTTATTATTGCACTTTGGACATATATCTCTCTAAACCTATCCGTTTTCATTTTGTGCGCATATTTTCACGAATTTCCCAGGTTGATTTATTAATATTATCTGGTTTCCTTTATTCTGGGTTTATCCAACCATATAAGCTCCTTATCTATGAGGATCAAGGTGTTGTGACCCTGAGTTTGGTCGCAGTCTATTTTGGTTGCATTGTTTTGGTTTATCTCGTTTTCGCAACTTTATCGAAGCGACAAGGAGATCTTTTACCTAATTCTGTGTCTTCTACAATAGTATTCATGATCATCTTCAGCATCCGACCTTTGCATTCGTACTAGATACTGGAAATTATGATGAATACTATGTTAGATTACGCAGAACTATGAACCTTCCACAAGGTCTCTGTCGCTCCGACCAAGTTTCAAAAACGAGGTCAAACCAACATAAATAAGCTATAGCAAATTTATCAAAGATTACTGGAGGAAGGATGCCGTCATGCAGAATCTGAATGAATTGTTAACCATTATTATTAACGCTAGCTTAACCCAGTGATTCCCAAACTGTGCTTCGTGGCGCCTCGGGGAGCCGCGGCCTCTTTACAGGGGCGCTGCGAAATATTGTAAAAGCTTCAATTTGAGTAAATGTGCAGTGATTTGCAGGCTTATTCATCACATTAATTATTAGATATTAATTTAATGTTAATAAATTAAAAATAATAATGAGGATACACGAGTTTTATTTATTTTTATCTCTTACTTACGACTAGTCATGCTTAGTGTAGGGCGCCATAGAAAAATTTTAATTGAAAAAGGGCGCCGCGACTGGGGAAAAGTTTGGAAACCACGGGCTTAACCAATTAATTTGGAAGGCTTGTCAGATACTAGTTTTCTCAATTTTTGTTTTTTCTGATATATATCTTTCAAAACTTTCTATATTATCACAGCTATTGATGGGCGGACTTTTAAGCTTTCCTATCGCTCCCTTATTTCGGGTACTTGAATCTAGATTCTTCCGTTAAAATAATGAAATTAGTTTTCCGCTCTAACATGACTGGTATTTTTTTAGATAAATCAAAGATCTGCTAAGTGTCAACCCTTTTATTTTCAAGGTTATTTCCAAATTTTAGCTTTGAATCTAGGCTTCGTTCAATTAAGCACTTGTTATTTTTTCACCCCGTGTACCAGCGTTAAGGGTAACCAAATTTGTTTGACGATGTCTCATTTGTTTTTTCATTGGCTTTATTTAATTTCGTTGGTGAACTAGTCTGTCAGAATGTGGTAGCCATCAAATCCCTTTTCTACATCATGTTTATTCGAGTATTATTATAGCCGCACATGTTGATCTATATTTCATTAGATTTTTTTGTTGAATTTTGTTTTAGATTTATCTACGAGACGGAGCAGCACAATGGCATTGCGGAACTTCTTGAAATCCTTGGCAGGTGATTCTATTCCTTAGAATATTACTGCTGTCCTATCTATGGAATTATTGTGAGAATCGTGAACTTTTATGCCTGGAGTGGATTTTAAAGTCCCCCTTTTTGTCTGTGCTCATATGTATGTACGCTTAATCTAATTGGTTAATCAGGGCTAATTTATTCCAAGTACAGTAGCCTTTTGATCAAGGGTACCCTTAAAATTATTATTCTTAGATTGTCAAAGTTCTGGTGTGAAAGGATATTCATATGAACATGTGCTATAAAGTGCCTGTAATACCGATGTTCACGCCTAACGACTCCTGTCTTGGATGAAATTTATTCCTAGAAGGCTAGTGTCTTCCTTTTGCTGAACTATAATACAGCAAAGTACGAGAAATGTTTTAATCACGGTCTTATTTTGATCACATGAAATAGGAATTTCTGCTCTTAAGCACATAGATTTGATATTACAATGGCCATCGACAGTATCTAGGCTTAGAGGGAGGATTTTGCAAATCTTTTGAATATAATAAATTAGGATTAATTCTTCACGCATTGCTCCAATATGGGCTGA